TAGTACAATATCTCTCACCTTATGACATAAAGGAATGGTATATATATATATGTCTTTTGGGACAGAATAAATTGAACTCAGTGTCGCCATTGGTAGCCACTGAATCAAGGCCTGTTTTCTAAACATACCTGTGATACTCAAGGAAAGGGAGAGGCTTCCATCACTGTTATCCCATTCTCTCAGACTTCATGCAGGGGGTCTACATTCTGTGCATGCTGTGGTTGGCTGTGCGGATCCCTCTATAGCTGGCAGAAAAATGAACTATGAGGGGCAAGAAGGAAACCCAGTCCAGCATGGTCTAGTAAACTGTGCTGGTTCAAACTTCTAACCCTGAGTAGTTTATTTTTGACATATTTAAACATGGTACAACTTTGGAAAAGTTTCTTTGTGACAGTTACCATAACAAAAAAGCATGGCTACATTAAAACTCATTTGCAAAGTACCTGTGGCCTCTTCCACAAGAATGGGTTCTATTGATGGAGAAACAACACTCAGCTTCAGGTGATTAGGTTGAAGTCTGACTCTCCAGAATAGCAAAGATTACCAGGTTATTAATGTACCATCTCCAGCCTTCAGGACGAAGACCAGGTATGCACATCCTTTTCACTGAAGAGAAAAGCCCGGATGTTTAACAATTCTTGTTTTTCTGTTGCTATCATGTCCTTCTCCAGTTGGCCTATGTCTCAGGGGTATGCTGAAACTGCCACACATACTGGATAAATTATCTCCTTTAGGTCACTTAGTCCCGATGTTGACTTCTGGGTCATCTTTGACATAGGAACTTGACTTAAGGATTGCTTTCATTTTCACAAATTTTATACTCATATTTTTCAACATAATCAAGTTTACCCCAATCAAAATGTAAGAGTTATTCATACACACAATTCATACACACAATCTCTTGCACAATCAGCTAAATGACACTTGAAATTTGTAGTTTGGGAAAGAAAATTAGTGGGACTTAGGAGAGAGAGCTTGATTGGTAAGGTATTTGCTATGCAAGCCTGCAAACCTGAGTGTGATCTCCAATACCCAATTGCCTCCAATAAGGCAATAGGGAAGCAGGTTTATAACCCAGGGATTGGGAGTCAGGGGTAGACAGATCCTGGGGCTGGTAGGGTCACCAGCCTACCCCAGAAAGTTCCAGGTCCTAGCGGACTCATCTTAAAAACAAGATGAATAGCTGCTGAGGAATGACACTTATGGTTCACCTGTGGCCTTGTACTTATCAGTGCATACACACCTGCACATGCATGAACAGACATACACATGTGTACACACAGAATTAGCATCCAACACATAGCTATGCAGCAGTTGGCTATACTTATTAGAAGTGTAATTCAAATTCAGAAAAGGGAAGCTCAATGCAGGCCAGGGTAGAGATGTTCGGGAAGATCAGGTCTAGTCCTCAGGCTACCCTCTAGGAACGTAAAAGCAGAGTGGCATTTGTGATATAAGACAGGTGTGAGCTAAGGCAGAGGGAGGGAAAGGCAACATGTGAGCAGGGACCTCCAGGAAGGATACGAGCAGAGCACAAGAACAAGAAGAGTAAATGGGGGAACAAGGACAGACTGTTATAAGGTCGAGCCTGGGTTCTTCTGGCCCCAAGTCAATCTGCTGGATTTGAATGGAGATAAAATTTAAGTCACATGTAAAATTTAAAATGTTCTGAAAAAAATGAAAAGAGACATGTGAAGTTAATTTTCATGACAGCTATTCCTTAACTCAGTATGTCTAAAATACTGTCAGTTTAACATGCACTAAATATATTTTTTCAGAATGCTTTCAGTTTGAATTCAAAATTTAAGAATTTTGTTTCATCAGTGAGATTAGCTGCATTTCAATGGCTTAATATCCCCATGTGTCTAGTCTTAACAACATAGGTACACACAAGTGTGAGATTGTTTAGTATCCGAATAATAAAACTTGATGTCTTAATTGGTTGTGTGTGAAATGCACACTGAGCGGTGCCTGAAGTGGGCGTGTGGTGAGGGTGGGGGTGGGGGATAGGACTTGGAATGAATCACAGGGGTAATTAGCACAGTAGTGTGGGGTGTAGAGCAGGGGAATTTGAGAGATGTTTCAATGAAATGATTGAGATGTCTTAATGGTTGATTGGTGAGTAGAAAAGAACACAAAAAAAGAAGCAAGGCTCTCTGCCACCTAGTATCCAAGTCTTCTACATAGTCCCAGGGACGCCTTGTGTTGTTGCGCCCTTCCCGCCAGCAGGAAGAATGACAACAACAGGATTCTTCTCAAGCACACTTTATTGGGAGCTCCAAGCTGAAAGAGAGAAGGACCCTGACCCTACAGAGCACCAAGCTTATATACTAGTGATGATGTGGACGTGCAACGTCGTCTGATTGGGTTAGGTCTCATGGGACGATTATGCATCACCCAATCGGGATAGGTGAGCAGCCATATTAGGATAAAGTCATATGCTCATGTGCAGACGATTAGGCTACAAAAGCAGTAAACAAGCTGACAGGCAAAGCCTGACGAAGCCAGCGTGGCTTCCCACATTGTGTGACCAAGAGAATAAGCCACAGTAAATCCCTTCCAAGATTAGGTTGTAAGAATACTGTGGCTTCTGTGTTGGTGTTTGCCCCTCCAGGACCCCTTGCTCTGGTAGGAGGCAGCTTCTACATGTGGGCAGCTCTCTGCACAGGTTCACAGAGTGAGATTCAACACTTGCCAACAAGCACAAGAGTTGGGAAGCAATTCTTCCTGTCCAAGGTGGACATTTTGGAGATTTCATACCTAGCCATCCAGCACTTTGCAACCTCATTAGCCCATGAGCCAGCATCACCTGGCTAATCTAGGATTCCTGACCCTCTGGAAGAGAAAAATTTACTGCTTTAGGTTGCTTAATTTGTGGGATAATTATAATATAAATGGGTAATAAAAGATGATAATTCTATTTCAAAATGGGCAAGATAATTAAGTAGACACTTGGTAAAAATAGTAACAAGTTAATAAAAAAGTGTTCAACATATTAAAGGCCATGAAAATAAAACTTTAAAAGGAAGTGGGATAACACTGCACACCCCAGCATGACCAAAATCAAGAGTAAGAACACAAGATTTTGATGAGGATATGGAAAACCAGATCATTTTCTTTTTAGCCTCTAGCACATTCATAAGTGATTAAACAATTACCCCAGGGCCCAACAATTCCAATTTTACATGTATGCCCAAGATAAATGAATAGAGACCACATAAAACAATACGTGAAAGTTCATGACCTAGCCATTCTTTGTAGCCCAAAGTGAAGACAACAAAATATCCTTCAAAACTGAACAGAAGAATTTTATATCCAGAACTTGGGATATAGCTCAGTTGGCAGAGTGCCTGCCTGGCATTCCAGGCATTCCTGAGGCCATGGTTGAATCTCCAACATCACTTAAACCTTGAGTTCTGTCCCTGAGACCCACATAGTGGAAGGAGAGAACCGAGGTCTGCAAGTTGCCCTTTGACCTCTGTATATGCATCATTGAACTTGGATGTGTATAGGTACACAAACAAATAAATAATAAATTAATAAACAAAATAAAAACATTTAATAGCAGGGCATTAAGTCAAAATAGGGCCCTCTAAGCATGGAGACTGTAGAGCACAGGCCCCATTCACATGGAGTCAGGAAAAGGATGACTTGGCTCTGGCTAGAGTAGGAAAGCTTGTTTGTCCAGTAACACTCCCTAGATAGGCTAACATATTCATTCTTCCCTGATAGTACATGACACTGTTTGATGGTGAAGTCAAATGGTGACTGCTTGTACCTTTGAGGACTAATTGCAGGTCAGGAATTCCTTGTGTCTCTTGTCTACTCCTTTTACAGTACCTGCAGACTTCCTCTGTTCGCTGGGTATTGCTATATTTAACCCAGGTCAGAAAGATAATTTCTGGCCAAATATCATATAGTATGTAGCCTAATTGCCAAAGACTAAGAATAAGATATAGTGGATGAATGCTTGGTGTCCATCCCAACACAAACACACACACACACACACACACACACACACCTTTAATTTTCTTAGTTCGAATTAATATGCTAATACTTGGTGATTCAATGCTTACAGCTGGACATCTGGGTGGGTCTAGAGGTGACTCAACAGTAGCAGGCAGTTAAGTATGAGTTTTATTTAATGAACTGCTTTCTGGTGCAGGTATACTTTCTTTGATAAAAGCGATTTTTAGTTTTGTTGGTGAGCACAGCCTCTAATCAGATATATTCGCCTGTCGGAGGGAGACTGAGGGATCTCTAACTTTCCCAAGACAATTAGATATATTTGAAAGCAAGTTCAGATACGTAGAGTGAGTACTAAACGACGCCGACCTCTCCTTGACACTAAATGCATTTCATCTGATTCACGAAGAACACTAAATCTACTTATTTTTCTGAGGTAGGGTCTTGCTATATAGGCCGGGGTGGCCATTCATTCTCCTGCCTCAGCTTTCTGAGTTCTAGGATTACAGGAATGCATCATCATGTCCGGTTTAAACCTACCTTTTCATTTAAAAATTATTAAAATTCCACAAAACTCCTTTAGATCAATCAATTTCTGCTGGTCAAACTTGAAGGCCTAACCTAGGAGTTTCCCAAGACGACCTCTAGGGAGCAAACTCGCTTTCCCTTTCCAATTAAATTTCGTTCTTTTCTCTGCACTTTGGCTACCTACCTCAGCTCTCTCCGCCTACGCTCTGGCTCCTCCCCTGCCCTCTCCAGCCGCTCTAGTCCCCGCCCCTTAGCCAGGCCCCGCCCCGCCCCGCTAGTACCCGGTTCCCGCCCCGCCCCGCCCCGCCTCCCCGCCCTTCGCTCTTTCTCATTTCCTCTTGTTTTGCCCCGCCCTCAGCGCGGCGGAAGTGCAGGCTGTGGGCCGCTCTGGCCCTCCGGAGGACTTGTCATCGTTGCATCGTTGCCCGTGGCTCTCCTCGGCTCCGGTCGGCGGTGGGCGGGTCTGACGTGTGCAGAACGCCGCGTCGTTCCGCTCTGTTGTAGCTCTGGGTTATTGGATCATGGGGCAGCAGGACGTGTGTCGGCTCCTGTCGAGGTGAGTTAGCGAGCGAGCCAGCGGCTGAGGGCCGGCTCGCCGTCCGCTCTCGCCCGGGGAGAAGGCTCGCGAGTGTCCATCGCAGGCCTCGCGGGTTGGTCGCCCTTGGAGGGCAGCCCTCTGACCCGCCGGCCGCGCCGTCCCCCGAGTTTGCTCTCTAGCACTTTGTTTGCAAAAACATAGTCATTTTCCGCTCTCTGTGTTGTATTCAGCCTTGACCTCGCACAACTTTTCTTTACTTTTTGCTCCTATCTATTTTCTTTTTTGGAGCTGGGTGCAGTTTGGGGACGTGCCGTCTAATTTACTATGTGGGCTATTTTTTTCTGGTCACACAGGTCTGACCGTTGTGTACCTGGGCTCTGGGTAGAGCTTTTTAGCCAGCTGCACCAGCAGCGCAGGTGTTTGCAAAACAATATTGTAGCCATTTTACTTGTTTGGCCGGACCACAAATCTACAAAATACTAACTTTTTAAAAGTGCCTCTCACTGCAACCCCACCTCATTCTAGGAGCTTTGGCTTGTTCAGTTCAGTACCATACACAAAAACTTTAATTGTCCCGGTGAAATGCTTGTCAGAAGTCCTTTTTGGGTGCTGAGATGTTTTACTGATAGACATCTGTGTGGTCTAGGAGCACATAAACAGTGGAACTCACTCCCCTTTGTTCCACTCCAAGTTCCTTATGCCTCACTGTTTGGAAGGTTCCTGCAAAGGCATGGGAGTGTTTCTTTGGTTTAAATGAATATCTACTGTTGGAGCTAGAGAGAGAGCTGATCTGAGAATTGGGATTCTGTACCCTGTGTGGCTGGTGACTATCTGTAACTCCAGCTCTAAGGCATCTGACAGTCTCTTTTGGACTCACACGACACCTGTACTCACATGGGCACGGACACATCTACACATAATTAAAAATAAATCTTAAGAATAGTGTTTTTTCGGGGGAGAGCCTCTAACATTGTTACACATTGTAGAGTTGCCCTGCTTGCTTCTCTCTCTCTCTCTCTCTCTCTCTCTCTCTCTCTCTCTCTCTCTTCCCGAGGTAAATACTAACATATGTGCATATACTCACTCTTGTTGCTTTTTTTGATGCTGGCAATTTCCACATTATTTGGGAACCATGTTGCAAAGACATGGATATTACCAAAGTTAGCTTCAACTTGAAAGATTCCATCATTACCCAGTTGAGCTTAGCCCTATTTCACTCCACGTAAACTGACTAGGTCAAGCCAGGAACAAATTGGACAGCATTGATTCCAGGTGCTTTTTCTACATTCAGTCCTGGAAACGGTATTACCCTAGCAAAAGGGATCAGAGCCAAGATCTTGCAGTCAAGAGGAGCATACCCCCACAAACATGTGAGGGAATCTGAGAGTGTCTGGAGGGAAAAGAGCTGTGTGCTTTAGCTGACCTTATTGGGCAATGCTGTTGATCTTTGACCTCCTCACTTTGTGCCAATGGCTGTTGTATGTCCCCACCATCACTTTCCCACTGCAGTGCCCACAGCTTTTAGGCGGTCTTCTTTGTCCGCACACCACTTCTTTGAAGACAACTCCCATACGTATTGTATAACCTGATTTATGCTGAGCCCTGTGCTGAATGCTTCAGTTGTACTTCAAACACTTGCAGTTATTTGTACACTAGGTTTCTAGATGATCTTTGTTTCTAGTGTTTTTCCATCAGCACACTAAGTAATGAGATTCACTGCGACCGGTCTGTGATACTGTTTTGGTTGCTGGTCCTTCCCTTTTCTCCTCCTCTGGTCTCCTGTCACCCCCTCCCCATAAGTCCTCTTTTCCCACTCCCTCCATCCCTCCCGCCTTCATGTCACTTTGTTCTTTTACTGTTGCCCACTCTTTACCCTCTTGCAGCCTTCTCTTAAGACCCTTTTCTGCTCTCATGGTCTTGTTTTTAGTTTTATGACCTCCTCTTTTTTTAACTAATTAAAATTTTTTTCATTTGTTTTATATCCTAACCACAGTGTCCCCTCCCTCCTCTCCTCTTGTTTTCCCTCTCCCCCCCATCTCCAATCTGCTCCCCTTTCCATTCATTCCTCTGTCTCCTTTCAGAAAGGGGCAGGCCTCCCCTGGGCATCAACAAAGCATGGCACATCAAGTTGAGGCAGGGCCAGGCTCCTCCCCCTGCCTTAAGGCTGGGCAAGGCTTTTGGGAACCAAAAGCCAGCTCAAGTGCCAGGGACAGATCTTGATCCCTCTGCTAGGAGCCCCATGAAAAGAGACCAAGCTACACAATTGTCACACACAATCAGAGGGCCCAGGTTGGTCCCAATGTGGGCTTCCTAGCTGTTGGTCCAGACTCCATGAGCTCCCAAAAGTTCAGGTCAGCTGTCTCGTGGGTTCCATCATTATGATCTGTATCTATACATATGTCATCCACATATGAGAGAAAACATGGTGTATTTGTCTGAATCTGGGATACTTTGCTTAACACAGAGTGCTGGCTAGTTTTTATGTCAACTTGATACTACCTATAATCTCAGGGGAGAGGGGAACACCAATTGAGAAAATGCTCCATAAAATGGGACTGTAGGTAATCCTGTAGGGCATTTTCTTAATTAGTGATTTATGTGGAAGGGCCTGGCTCATTGTGGGTAGTATCACTTCTGGGCTGGTGGCCTTTGGCTGGTGGTCCTGGGTGTTACAAGAAAGCAGGCTGAATAAGTCATGAGGAACAGGCTGGTAGACAGAACTCTTTCATGCTCCTGCATCAGCTCTTGCCTCCAGATTCTTGCACAGTTTGAGTTCCTACCCTGATTTCCTTTAGAGATGAACACTGATTTGGAAGTGTGAGTCAACTAACCCATCTCTTCCTCAAGTTGCTTTTAATTATTATGTTGTTTCATCACAGCAGACCCTAACTAAGACACATAGTAACTTCCAGTTCCATTTTTCTGCAAATGTCATGGTTTTCTTTCTTGCTATAAAGTTCTATTGTGTCTGCATACTGCAGTTTCCTTTATCTGAGCTGTTGATGGCTCTCTAGGTTACTTTTGATTATTATTATTATTATTTGTGGCTGTTGTAATTGATGCAGCAATACACATGAATATACAAGAATCTCTTTGGTAGGACTTAGAGTCCTAAGGTCACCTTAATTCCCCAACACCCCAAACCTTATTTCTTCTTGCAGACTCAAATTTATACAACACCCTCAGTTTGGCACTTGTTCATTTTGCAGAAACTTGATGGTCTTACTACTTCTGCCTCGAGTAAGTTCTGTGTGTGACTGCTAGATTAACCTTACTGAAATTTATGTCAGTGCAAGCCGTTCATCTGCTTAGAAGCTCTCATAAGAACCTTCCTGGCAGAACCTTACAAAGGACACTGAGACCCCAAGCCCTCACTCTTTCTCTCTTTGCTTCTACAATAGCATGAACTGACATCCTTTAGCTGACATGATCTACAGAGTTATGACAGACACAAAGCCTGTCCAAGTAGCCATGGATCAATACCTCTGAACCCTGAGTCAAAACAATGCTTTTCCTTCATTATCTCAGCTATTTTGTCAAGGTAGTAGAGAGCATAAAAAATACATACATTCTTACATACATGATGGATGATATGTAGGTAGGTAGGTAGATGATAGATGGATAACCAAAATAAATGGAAAAGGGCCATGTAAAACCAATTCATAGAAAAGGAATTCAACTAATAGTAATAGAAAGTCCCCCTGAGCTGCAGAGAATGAGGGAAAGGCTGGTATTACAAATGCCTTTGTTGGCTGCAATGAACAGTGAATGAGGCATGTGAATACCCTTTGACTTGTGCCCATCAGAAGCAAAGCAGAAGGAAGAGGTGTAAGAAGCAGAGACAAATGTGCAGGAATGAATACAGGAGCCAAGGAGAGGTGATGGTGAATCTAAATCCGATAAATCTTTAATAAAAGCAAGCCCCAACAATTAAAAAAAAAAAACCTTCCTGGCAATGGGATTAAATAAAAGAGAGCATTGCTAGCCTGGATCTCAAGAATTTGAATCTCAGTTTACTTTCTGTGGTGCTCAGAGGCATTGTTCTGGGCACTGGTTATCCTGTAGGCAATGTGGACTAGACATTCTTACCAATCCTTAAGTGATAAACACTAAAGACAAAGTCATATTTATTTACTGACTTTGGGAAGTGTTTCCAAGAAAAAAGTATACTGTCAAAAGATTGCTGCAGTTCTCTGCCTAACTTCCTTGTTGGGTTGCTGCTGTTTGCTGCCTCTGTCCTTTACTGCTAGTTGGACAAAGGTGCACTCTTTGAGGCTGTGTTATACTTTTGGTTTTTTTTGTGTGTGTGTGTGAGGAGACACAAACCAAGACAGCATAAGCGTTCATGGTGGTCACTACATGACAGCAGTGGGGACCAGCAGGGCACTGTTGGGTGAGGGAGAAGGCTCTGGACTGATGTGGTTAGTAAAATGCAGATAGATCCACTATCCCCAAAAGTAGCTTTTTTAAAATTTTTGTCTGATTTTCTGGAAATGCTGGAAAACTCTAGCTTAGGCAGTATCTCTTGATTTTAAAAAAGATGTTTGTGGTTGAAAAATCACTTGACTAAATAGGAATGAAATAATAACAAACCACACAAACCAGGGTTATTTCTTTCAGACAGGTTGAGGTTATAGTGCCTCTGTGGTTGTCTCTGATTCACCCCATGGTGTATCCTCAGTCCTGACTTTTCTCTTAGGCTTCAGGGTCTCTTCTTGAATGTTTTTTTGCTTTATGTCGTAGCAAATGCAACCTAAAGTTCATAGTTCATCCTGTAAAGCTGCTGGTGTCCTTTTAAGTGTACAGGGACCTGCACTTTCTTCCCTTCCTAGTCTTGCTGGAAGCCCTCTTTTCTGGAGTTTTTACTTCACAACTCTGTATGCCAACCATGTCACTGTTTTCCATCAGTTCACCCAATTACTCACTTGACTGCCTGCCCTACACCCTGGCAGCTGCCAGTACTGTCTCTCAGCCCTTCTTTTGTTAGGTTATCTTGCTGGAACAGTTCCTTGTAGAGT